CTCACTGCAGCCCCACCCAAACGTGCACCCTGCAACTGGTCCTCGCATGGTTTGGGCTTCGGAGGGTTTTCTTCTGGCATCAAAAAAGCAATTCATCATCTCTTACAGTACTGTCACCCTGGTGTTCTCAGTTCAGATTGTCAGATGAACATCACTGGGGCTGACTAGCAGACTTGTCTTCAGCATCCATCTGAACTAGAAGCCTGATGGTTCATGCTATCTTACCTTCCCCCCCCCCCCCCCTCTTTTTTTTTTTTTTTCTTGTCACATGCAGTTACATCTCCCCCCCCCCCCCCCCCTTTTTTTTTTAAATGTGGCTGAAATTAAATTTCAGACAAAAACATTCTCATTGGATCTAAAAGGCTGAAGCAGAGCTCTGGTTCTGCTGCACCTAGACCAGGTTGCCTAATATTACATCCTGGATTTAATCTTTAGGACTGCTTTTCAGCTACATGTGACCCAACATCTTTCTAGCGAGCTGAGCACTCATAGAGCCCTCGGCCGCCAATATTCACACCATTTGAAAGAGAACCAGGAGAATTATCTCAGACAGAAGAAACAGATCTCTTGTGCTGACAGAGTAAATACATTTGGGGTCTGACTTTGCCAACAGCTCTCTTTTCTCTAACAACTACTGGAGTGGATCTGCTAACATTTAAGAGATATCCAACACTGCATTGCAAGAAAACACTTCCAGCTGCTTATGTTTTTAGCAAATTTAATTTTTTTTAAAGTAAATTTTAATTTAATTTAAACTGCAACCTCAATGTCCCTATTCCTACCTAGGAAATGCTTGGAGCCTTGCATTAGGTGTGGTGTTTAAAGGTTTTTGATTGTCCCCATACAGGTCTTCTGTATGACAGCCACTCTTCAGGCCCAGTTAAGTGCCATTATGTCAACCTTCCACATGCCAGAGATAAAGCTCCTTCTGGTCCTCTCCTGCCAGAGGAGTACAGAATGAAATGAAACGCTGAGAACCAATTTAGCAGCTGACGGATTTGTCATTTAGGAAGGGTAGCAGAATGGAAACACTTTACAGGAGCCTCCTTCATGGTCAAGCCAAGGAGCTAGTTACAGCTCAACGTACTTTGATGCAGTTCTTGGAGCTGGCCTTGAGCAGGTCACCTAAGACGTGGTGCTGGAAGTGTTGCCATTAACTTACTTAAATAATACCAAGGTAAAAACAAATCCCCCTGGGTCTCTGGCACTGGATCTAATATGCCCTTGTCTTGTACGTCATGATCACCGTGTTTAGAGAGACAGCTGTTTGCAGCTGGGTACCTAAAGCTAGATATGCTCCTGAAATCCGCTAGGAAAATACATTGGCCCTTCAGGCAATCAATAGACCAAACCAAGGGAAATAATAAGAATAACGATAAGAGGATGAACGTTCTGAGTTCATAATGAACCATTATGAGTGAGGATCCTTTGAAATCCATTAGTGACAGAATAAGAGGAGTTTCAGTGCACCAGCATTCACCAGGTTTCACTGTGTAATTCCATGAACTTCTGCTTCTCCTTGATTTCAGAAAGACAATTCAGTAGCCTTTAGCTTCTATATTTTATTTTTTCTCACCTACTAGCCAGCAGAAGCAGAAAAATAAACACACAACTAGGAGCTGTATTCACAGACAGGAAGTAACTTTAATTAAATATTGTGAAAGTTGAAAAGTTTTTACAGCTTGAATTTCTGCAAAAAAATTATAACAATCTCTACAGTAGTTAGTTTCTCTAACAATAGAACTGTACAGTGTGTGTGTCTATTCAAAAAGATTTAGATAAGAAGGTGAAAGGTTAGTAGTTTCAGAGATGACTTCATTTTAGCTGCATCCTAGTACAACTGTGAGGAAATAGGCATACTTTATGCAATCCAGTCATTGTGAAGCTTCACCTTGTTAAAACTGAAATCTGAATGTTTCCACTTAAAGCCATATTCTGTAAACAGCTGCATCTTTTACTTTGTAAAAGATAAGGGTGGTGCGGGGGAGATTTTTATAAATTCCCATTCATCGGATCACTATAAATAGCTGCAACAAAACGAAATTATGCACATTGTCAGAGGATCTTTGGACACTGGCATAGAAGACTACAAACATCGATGGCTAACACTGGTGTCAAAAATCGCTATGACTTTGAGTGGAGCTCTACAAGAGTAATTGATGGTGTCACTGGACAAAATATGGCTTTAAATTTGATTACATTGTCGTGCTGTTGCTTATTATGTGAATTAGAATAATCGCTTGGAATACAGAGAAGCAATAAACTGATGTCTCTCACATTTTCCAGTTTTCTCTTCTTTTATTTTCTCACCATGAAAAAAAAAATCCTGTTTTCTTCCCTTCCCCCCAAAGATCACACTGTGACATTCTAGTGAAAACCATTGCAAAATTCATACAGGAAGCATGCACAGTTGCAGCATCGTTGTAAATGATTTCTTGCTCGACTAGAAAAAAGTTATATTGTTTTAAGGTAACAAAACAGTTCTTTTGTGCTTTTCAATTCCTTTTTTTTTTTTTTTCTTAGAATGTTAGTGATGATTGACAGTTCTGGTGCACAGTACAATGTACAAGTGAAATGAATATGATTTGCATTGTTAAGGCATCCAATCTGCTGGTTTATATTTATGTGAAAGACAGAGAAATATACAAGCAGACTTAAGAAAGAAAGTATTTTCATTGAGTTCTATGAAGTTTCTCCCCATATTTAATGCACAAAAATGCGTCACTCCAAAGAGGAGAAATCCCATGCATATTAATAGAGTAAAACAGCATTAGTTTTTGTTAAGCCTCAAAAGCAAAGGATACATTTTTTTTAAAATCTACATAACTAAATGCTACAAGAATAATATGCTACTTTTTGCCATATATTGGAAAAAACTTCTTAACTTACAAATAATACAAAAATAGACAATGGCTTTTGGGTGGAAATTAAAAAAAATGGAAGCATGGTTTTAAACAATACTAAAAAAAAACCCTATAAATGAAATGTTTTAAAATCACATTTAAACAGCTAATACAACGATGAATGACCAAACAAATCAGCACTTTTCACATAGCAAACATACACAATAAAATAAAATTGGTAGGGGACAAAAAGCAATGTACAAATTCCAAAGATAAATACATTATTTATATGGATATTTTACAAAATCCCCTTTAAAACAAACAAACAAAAAACAGAAACAAAAAGCTTTTTTTTTTTCTTTAATTAATTTTGCAAGTATGTGCAAGCTAAAGGTAGTGAGCTCTTTTTGCAAAATATGCAGTAAAATTCTTTTTTTGTGATATTGAAAAACCGTCTTAAGACATTAAAATGTATAAATAGAACAACAACTTTGGCAAAAAATCACAAAAAATCTACAGTATTTATAACTACATACAAAACACAACAGCAAAGAAAAAATATCAGGTAATGCATCTTCAGAGCTTTGCTGCCTCTTTGACTAATAGTTTTTAAGAACACTTCCCAGATAATGATAGCAAAATTTTTGTCAAACAGAAGCTATGGTTTTGATTTGAAACCTTCCTAACAGCCCCACCACCCACCCCTCAAACTCATGTTTCCATTTAGTATTCAAAAGCAGTTACCTGTTGCTTAATATATTATGATACAAACTGAGAGGGTCGACTGATACGGGAACAATCCTAGTGGGAGGCCGAGGAAAACGTGTGCTTTCAGATTGCGAGGATGCAGCACCGCCGACGAGTCTGTTCTCATTCTGCCCCGTAAAACCCAACAGGTCAAGGGGCGAGGGGCTACCCCGAAGACACCCCACGCGTGATGGCCGCAGTCTGTGCCGTTAGACGGCTATGCAAAACCCAAATGGCATTTTATGCACAGCTCAGGTGACACTAAACATCAGGAAGGCCACTCGTTTGGGAAGAGTCTGATATAGAAGCTAAAGAGAGAGCCATGCTAATCTAATTCTGCAGTTTTAGCATTATATCTAGAGGCACTGGATTTTCAGTTCAAGAGGAAATGTGTAATTTGCATCCTTACCTTTGCTTTCACCAACTTTTCTTATTGTATTATTTACACAATTATTTAGCCTGATATTAAAGACAGAGGTTGCTCATCCCACCCCTCATCCCGCCCTTACCATCCAAAAATATCAGCTTTCTAGGGAGTGATATCTATTTAATTAGAACATTAAAAAATGCATCATATTAGCTAGTCACCACTGGATAAGCAACCTGTATGAGCCGACCCTTAATTAAATGGCCATAATTCTTCTACGAAAAACTAACTGGCACTTCTATTCTGTCCCATACAGACTTTTATGTAAATGACACCACTTCGTTTTTCTTTACACAGCTTTAAAAAAAAAAATCATAAATTAAAAATGTGGAGTTCCATCGCTAGTGTCCCTGGTGTAATCGTATGATTTAGAAAAGACAAATGGCATTGCATTAAATCAAGCCTTAAAAAAACAGAAAAAAAAAACAGAAGGAAAAAAAAGCAAGCCCCCCCCCCCCAAAAAAAAAAAAAAAAAAAAAAAAAAAAAAAAAAAAAAAAAA